GGAGCTAGCAGTGACAGCTAGCTCTGCCCAACAGTTTTCTATTGGCCGGCGGGTCTGCTGCCTTAAAAAAAAAAAAAAGCCTAGCCTCTCCGAGCGCTCCGGGAGTCCCCTTGCTCCTGGCCGCCAAGGCGAGAAACACTGCTTTTTCTTTTTTTTTTCTTTTTCTGACACGGAGCCGTGTCAGAATAGTAAACAAAATAAAATTTGGCCATAGGAATGCATTGCACCCTCTGCTGCTGTCAATCAGTAGTGGACCTTGCAAATTGAAAGCGCCAATAGGAATCTAGCAATGCATTCCTATGGGCAAAATTATAATTTTTTTTCTATTCTGACACGGCTCCGTGTCAGAATAAGATAAAAAAAAGAAAAAGCAGTGTTTCTCTCCTTGGCGGCTGGGAGCGGGAGACTCCCGGAGCGCCAGGGAGAGTTAAGCTGTCTGGAGATCAGTGTCCGCGGTTACCTGGTAACCAGGGACGCTGATCTCTCTGCAAGTGGCCGGAGCCAGCCGTAAGATCACGGCTGGCTCCACCCAGCTTTCAGAAGCAGGCTGACTGCTTTCAGCGCAGCTCAGCCGAGTTGAGGCATATGCGTTCGGCTCGACTGAGCCGATCGACCAAGTTCGGGAGCTGTACGGGCTATAGTGAATAGCCCGTACAGCAGCCCTTCGGTTCTACTGAACCGAAGTCCTGGGGCCGAAGCTAGCCGAAGGATCGGCTGAAGCTACTGCTAGATCCTTTGGCTGCTTCGTGCATAGACCCCTTTGTGTGGCAGTAAGTCAATATTCAACCAAATAAGAGCGTTCCCACAATAAAGCATGGTGGTGAAATCATTATGGTTAGGATTAAAAGTAATATGGATTACACCAATTACATGACAATTCTCTGAGAAAACCTGTTTCAAGTTGGCAGAAACCTTTGATTGGGGTGAAGGTTCCCCTTCCAGCAGAATAGTGATCCCGAATACAAAGAGGTGAGTATCAAACCAAGAACTGAAATGTATTCGGTTGGCTTAATCTAAACCTAGAATCTATGGTGGGACTTGAAAATTGATGTTCACCAATAGTCTACCATGACAGAACTACCGCAATTTAGCCAAAAAAAATTGCCAAGAAATACAGGATCAAAGATTTGCAAAGCTGTTGGAGACTTGCTCCAAAAGTCACCCAGCTGTAACTACAGCCAAAAGGTGGTGTTAGCTAGTACTAGCTAGATACAAGGAAGAAGCGAGGATAGTCATATGTGCTTGTTTTATTGTATAAATAATTATTTTATAATTAATGCATTATAAATAATTTAAAACCCCAATTAAATCCATATTAATCCAATTTAGTAACAAGACAAAATCTAGAAATGTCTACGAGGTTGAATGTTTATGCAAAGCATCACATATCAACCATTACAACTACTTTAAGGAATTCTAATCTACTAATATCCGTAATAACAACAAACAGCCACAGTCATGCCTGGAATGCTGTGAGTGAATGTAACTTTACTCCTGGCATTACATGTAAGGTATGAAAGAGTATTTGATCTAATCACAGGAGTTAGAGTTAGGTCACAGTAAGAGATGTGTATTTAATAGCACAGTGACAGCTGGTGTCCTATGTGATGGGTACATAGATATCACCATGTTCATGACTATTTCAGTCAGACTGTTTAACAAGAACAGCCAGTAAATGCTATGAGGTCATCTTCTTGTCAGCATGAAAGAATGATGATGAAATGAGCATATCAGTTTTAATATAAACAGTAAGGGCTAGCTCACACCAAGAGCGGAGCAGGTGCAGAGCAGAGCAGTTACAGAATGTATCAAAACTGCATCCAATGTATTATTTTGGACTCTAGTTCACACCGCAGCGTTCAGTTCCAGAGCATGTAAAAAAAACTGCAGCAAGCCCTATTTTTCTGGAACGCATGCAAATGCATCAAAAACCCATGCAAACGCCCTTGAACGCACTGAAAGTCCATTTTAGGCTAAAAAATATATTATAATTTTTTTTACAGAAACCGCCCTGGAACGCGGCAAAAATGTGCCAAAACACACTGCACTGCATGTGCATAAACTCATGCAGATCTGGTCTGCATTTGGTGTGAACAATCCCTAAGCTGATGGTGTCACTGATAAAAAAAACATTGAGACAATAACTAAAAGGATAGGATAACCCAACCCATATGTAAAAATTGAAGCTGAAGACTACAAGAGACCATTGCGGCATGAATCTATTTCTAATTCCAGAATACACTGTTGCGTGTCGCTTTAATCTAAGGCCATAAGCATTCAATGTGCAATATAGTAGCACAATATTTACATCAGCTGCTTTTTACCAGACACTAACGGGGTTATTCCCAAAGCTGCCAAAGGCAGCCGAGTGAATAACCGAGCCAAAGTGAACAGAGCAACGTTCGGATGTCCACTCCGGCTCAGTACGGCTGATTTCAGCCGTAAATCTTCTGCCTTCGGTCAGCCGAACATGCTCTGCAGAGGGACTTCGACTCAGCTGATCCAACATCTGGATCAGCTGAGCCGAAGCTCCAGCAGCTCACTCGCTGCCGTTCGCCCCTATTCACAAAGGTACCGAGCAGAATAGAAAACAAGTGTAAAGAATGTGAAAAGAAAAAAAGTTGCAAAATAATTTTAAAAATGCTAAAAAAATATTTTAAGGAAAAGAAAAATAAATAAATAAAAAAAAAACAATTGGGCGGAGCTAGCAGAGTCTTCTAGCAGGTCCTGTGAAGGGCTCCGGCGGCCCGAAGAGAGCCGAAGTATCAGCCGAAGCTCTGGCTGTATCCTTTGGCGCTTTAGTAAACAACCCCCTAAATTTCCCTGTTGGAGCTATAGTTAAAACTGAACTCCAGGCAGATATAAATTATACAAATGAATGAAGATTTCTATTAATTAACATATTATTTTTTGTCAGCACAGAGTAACAATCTAGGTTTGACCAAGTATCAGCCTCTTGCAGTCCCTGTACAACAAAGCTCATATAGGAGGGGAAAAAGCAGCACTCTGTAGTGCAGACAATGGGAAGTAGTGTGTCTGACCAATTCTGTTATGTTAGCGACAGCAGTAGGTCTAACTCTAACTTCTGTATTATGTATAATTTCAGGTCCTTGGGCTGAATGAGAGAAACCAGTCAATTCCCTCCTCCATGCTAAACAGTGTGGATGGAAGACTCTCCCCTACTGGCTATTGTATTTACAGAGCTAGCACTCGCTGCTGTCTGAATACGAGAACAATGACTGCATCTGACTAGAAGCAGTTACTTTTGCACTCAGCATATTACATTTTTTCATTGACTTTTTTCAAGTCATGTGGTGATAGGGCCCAAAGCAGATGAAATCTGAGCCCTGTATGACCAGGTAAGTCCTGACCATTTAATTTATTTGTACTGCAGTCAAAGAAATACAGCTTGACAAAAGCAGTGATTGGATAGAGAAGGAATAGCACTTCTGACTGATAAGGTTATCTCTCTGCTCTCTCCTCCATTTCTATGTTACAATTCACATTACTCTGTGATGGGATAGAGAAGTATAAGCACTTCTGATAAGGTTATCTCTCTGCTCTCTCCTCCAATCACTATCTTAAGACTCACATAACTCTACAATGCAGTAAAGTCTGATCAGCCTATGGTGTTGCATCTCCCACTTCCAGTATATATGCTGATGGCCAATGGACTGCAAGCACATGCATATCTGACACATTACATATGTAAATGTATGCTTAAACACAAATGATCATTTATTTGCAATTTGTTTATTAATGTGTTAGCAGTATTTTCCAAAATCTCACCCTCCATTATAGTCATTGGATCCTCCACTTTGGGACGCAGGATGTTTGGCCCAAAGACTGTAGCCAAGTTCTGAACACTCATTTTATTCACTCCAGCATAGGACTGCACCTCATCCAAGAATCTGTTATGTATAAAAAAATATATACACTTAGGGCATAGTCAGAGTGAAAGCATATTCCTGTCATAATTTACTAGAACTAAACTGAATAAAACTGGACTTCAGTGCTGGAGACTTTTCATGCGGCACGTTTTACTCTTGTGTACAATTAAAATGTCACATTGTTTCATCACAGTGGTTCATCACAAACACATTTCACATTGCAGCTTTTAATTTGACTTAACTTTGCTTTCTCACCATCAACGATTGCAATGGTCTTATGACATACATTTTTCAAAAAATATCTAAAAATTATGCCACTTTTCAAAAACATCAGGAATATGTTAACCAAAAGGGATTCTGATACTTGGCATAGATAAAGCAGAAAAGGAAAGATTGCAAACCAGAAACTGTACACTGTTTATTAAAGTAAAATATATAAACCATTTTACTGCAGAGGACTCCAGCGTGGGAGGCATTTTTTCCATGTTTTCAGTGTCAGCATGGGCTCAGAGCAGGGAAACAAACTCTATGCACCCCCCTGCTGCAAGCTCCATGCTGAAACAACAAGGTGCCAGCACTCTGTGCAAATGTTACAAATAATCTATATCTGGATCATATATACTTTAGCAGTAAGACCCTGTAGTGGATCAAATTCTGTGTCACTCTATTTAAAATAGAAGACTCAATTTTGAGTGAGGTTTCATTACAATATATTTCCTTTATCGACCTGACTGTACAATATAACTTTCATGTTTGCTCTAATATAATAACTAGGAGGTGCACCGAGATTAAATTTTGAGACCGAAACCGAAAATAACAAAAATGTCAGGCCGAAACCGAACATGATTTTTTTTTTTATATTTCTTTTTAAGCTTTTTTTTGTTTATTTTATTTATTTATAAATTTTTTAAATAGTTGTATTTTTTAACTTTACTGTTGGGGGCTTGGGGGGAAATGTCAGCAGTCTAAAGAGATCCCTGATATTTCCCTTTTACAATAGAAAAAGAGATTGAGGACACTGAGCCCTCAAACACTTTTTCTGCAGTCCCAGCACTGAATGAAGAGAAATCCTCTATACTGTACTGAGTGCTCCTGTTCATTCATAAATTGTGGATATTACTTACTTTGTACACAATAATGAATGAATAGGAAGTGATCACGTCCCATTCATTCAAAACTGGTACATAGTAATTCATACTATGTCCAGTTATTTACAAACATTCAGCGATCACTGAATGTTTGTATACCGCTCTCCATCCTGACTCGCTGTCACAGCTAAGCCGGCGGTGCGGGGAAGAGAGCTCGGTCTACTTTGACAGCTGACTCCTTCCTCTCACCGCCAGCTCGGCCTCCAGTGACAGCTGTCTCCACCCCTACAGCGCTCTCCAGATCTGTGCCCCGCTCAGCTCCTGACAGTTTCTCTCCTCCACGCTGGGTGCTGCACTGTGTCAGAGGGGACACAGAGCAGCGCCCAGCGGGGAGGAGAGAAACTATGGATGCAGCGCAATTACGGCCAAAAGATGGCACTTTCAGCATTTTGCCAAAAGTGCCATTTTCGGCCGATATGTTTTGGCGCCCGAAATTTCGGTGCATCCCTAATTATAACCCAGTGTTTCTCAACCTTTTCTCTCAGCGATGACACCCTTTAAAAGCATGCTAAATCTTGAGTAAACCTACTCTTAAATGTAAGAAAAGTAAATGTAAAAAGCAACATGTGATCCTCCAAAATCTACACCCTTATCTCAAATTTTAAGGTGGGACCCCATGTAAAAAGACACACACAGGAGCCCCCGCCATTTATATCAGAGTCCTCCTCTTTCTCATAAGAGTCCCCCCTTCATATACATAATGAGACCATAAAAGAATCTGTTTGGTTTTAGACTGTCTTTCTAATTGAAACTCAGTCTACAGTGGTACAAAAGAAGAGAGAAAGAAGGTAAAGAGGAAGGAGGAGTCTTTCCTGTTAGTTATTCAATTGTGTGTATAATCTGTGCTTCAACTATTGAGCACTGTAAACAACAGGCTTTTAACAAACCATTTAAAATATGCCTAGAAAACATGTTAAAAAGCAGGCAAGAGTTCCATATTTCATATTCACCTCACTGAAAATGCAAAATATATTTAAAAAAATGTATATGATATACAGGTGAAACTCAAAAAATTAGAATATCGTGCAAAAGTTCATTTATTTCACTAATGCAACTTAAAAGGTGAAACTAATATATGAGATAGACTCATTACATGCAAAGCAAGATAGTTCAAGCCGTGATTTGTCATAATTGTGATGATTATGGCTTACAGCTCATGAAAACCCAGATCCACAATCTCAGAAAATTTTTGGCAGTGTGGGCAGGTGCCAAGTCCTGCTGGAAAATGAAGTCAGCATCCCCATAGAGCTCGTCTGGGGAAGAAAGCATGCAGTTCTCCAAAATCTCCTGGTAGACGGCTAAGTTGCATTAGAGAAATAAATGAACTTTTGCACGATATTCTAATTTTTCGAGTTTCACCTGTATACTGTTATTATTATTAACAATAATAATAAAAATAATATTATAGAGAAAGAGCGAGAGACAGACAGACATAGAGAGACCCTTACCACCCTACCCTTGAGGATCTTACCTGCAGATGTACTTTAATAGGTTATAATTAACTGGTGGGAGGCTCTTTACTTGTTTCACTAGTTCTGCCATTCCCTGTGGAATACAATAATAATTATTACATTAATATGACTATTATACTCATGCACTAAGCATAAAAGTGTATATATTCAAAAGCAGTGATAAATGAAGACAACAATTCCCTCAGTCAATGTTTTTTGTAAAATGGAAACTTGCCCATAATCATCAAAATCAATGCTTCACGGGAAACGCAGAAGCAACCTATAATTACATCTGAATGCCTTTTATGTATATAAGTGGTTTCATTTTCTGAAACTGCTTATCATACATGAGGGAAGCACACAGTGTTGAGCTGACTAAAATATTGCAGAAAATGCTTTTACTTTTCACATTAACATTACAATTCCAGTTCTCTTGAGACCAGGGGTCAGGATGGATAGTTTTTGAAATATTGGCTGTATCTAGAGCGAATCACAACATGGCTTTAAAGAGGTTACCTTTAGGCTGAATGATTAACACATCTAGAGATTTAAGCAGCTGAAATGACCTTTAAACCTCAACTTTTACCTGTAAGCTAGTCAGTGCCCTCTATCTGTCTCCAGAGGTTTCCTATTTATCAATAACTTGTATCGTATATCAAAGGAGATCTGGGAAGTGTGGGTAAAATCATTGCTACTGAAATTGTATATAAACTCAAAATCTATGTTTCTATATGTTTGGCACTAGGGATGTCCCGATACCGATACAAGCATCAGTATCGGGACCGATACAGGGCATTTTGACAAGTACTTGTACTTGTCAAAATTGTAAACATTCCCAATTCACTCCAGCAATATATCTACAATGATCCCCTGCTAACATGAATAGGTTAAAGGATCCATAGTACGACTACATGTTATGTATATATTATGTACTATGGATCATTATTTAACCTATTCATGTTAGCAGGGGAGAATTGTAACTCTAATACTGCAGTGTACTGGACGTGTGTGCTGTATAAAGTATGTACTATGGATCATGATTTAACCTATTCATGTTAGCAGGGCAGAATTGTGAGCGCCTCCCACAAGCTGAGCACCGAGACGTGATGCAGCCATCCTGCCCAGCACCGACTACAAGAGGCACAGCGTGAGGCAACAGGGATCGGAGTAAAACTGTGAGTGAGGGAAGCTGGGACTGTAAATCTTTTGCTATAGTGTACTGTAAGTGTGTACTGTATATGTAGCACATATACAGCACACACCTCCACTACACTACAGCAATACAGTTACAATTCTCCACTGCTGACATGAATAGGTTAAATCATGATCCATAGTACATAACATGTAGTCGTACTATGGATCATTTAAAGTCATCTGTCCCTTTAAGAAAAAGTATCAGTAATTGGTATTGGCAAGCACATGAGGGGAAGTACTAGTACTTGTACTTGGTCTTGAAAAAGTGGTATCGGGGCATCCCTATTTGGCACCATCCCTCACTGTATAAGGTTTCCTTAAGCAAATCTTTTTTTGTGAACCTGTTGGAAAGTTTCTTTGCAGGTGTATAACAGGAAGAGTCAAGCCTGCTGTGTATCTAGAACTGGGTGTTTTACTGGATATCGAAATATCAGAACAGCCACAATTAACATAGAAGTTAAGGTAAAAAAGTTGCCAATCGGCAGCCTTTATATGACAGAGGAGAGTGTAAAAGTCTCTCGTACCATAAATGCTACTTGCTGCCTGTCAGCAATGCATTTTTTTTCCTGTACACGGAGCCAAGCATGCACAGCTCAGTGCAAAGGCTTTGACAAGGCGAGATGAAGTAACTCCCACACACTTGCCAGGGCCTGGCCAATCAAGTGGCCAAAGAATCGGAGCCCTGAATAAGACCAGGGTGAAGATGGAAGCGCAGGTCAGGGAGGAGTGCAGCGCTGGAAGAGATCTCTTTAGGTAAGAGGTAAGGTAAGTTTGCCATAATGTGCTAATATGCTGTGCATACTAGCACATTATGGCTGCAAGCTCCAGGGGGGGGCTTTCTCTTTTTTTCCACCCCTCACTTTACTTGCACTTTAAAGTATATGTAAAAGATTAAACTAATTGATAAGTATGTTGGGCATCATGCCACATCTTATACAGTTTTCTTAAGCTAATCATTTTTGTAAATGTGTTGCACAGTTTGTAACCTGGAGATTCTGCCATTAACAGCACTTCCTGATGCAGGATGGCAACATTAGGCCTTGTTCACACAAACTGAAGTCTACATGACCCTCTGAAAAGTGATATGTGGCAAACTGTTTTTCAGTGGGTCGTGGATCCGTGGCGATACTGCTGCCTCCTGAATGCAGTTTTTTTTTAAAAGAAAAAAATCCCAATAGGGATATACTATTGCATTACCATCCCGCAACTGTGTACCCCCATGGTTGAGGTGGTCCCCTTCATTGCAATTGTCTCATTTGATAAGCAGGACTGCTTGTCAAACACGACATGCTGTATATTTTTTGCATAATGTATATAAGCACTGTTCGGCTGTAGCGCTATTACTGCAGCAGGCAGCTGGGGGGCAGTGAAACCGCAAATTTGAATGGATATAACTGCCCCATTGCTGCACAGACACCGTGGGACATAAGAGAAGAGGAGGATAGAGGAGTCAGTGCTGGATCGGGGGACCTGCACCATCGCTGGAGGGACAGCTGAAAAGGACAGTAAAGAAGAAGATGATCAGATTAAGAGGCATCATTTAGGGTAAGTCCCTAGAGCAGGATTGGGTGGGAAAAAAAGTTTGACTTTAATGTCACTTTAAGCTGCTAGCTTGCAATAAGCAGCAGCATTGTCAACCTGCCATGTGTGCTCCTTCAGTTGGCCATTGGACTGTCCATCAGATGTGCGCATGCTTCCTTCAGCACAATGGCTAACCGAAGGAGCACACACGACAGGCTGACTAGTCTTAGCCCTTCCTGTTATATAATTTTAATGTATGGGATTGGATGTTGGAGGGGTTATTATTAAAGACAAGTCACCCAGTTGTGACATATTTAATGATGTTTATTGACCATGCCAAAATATTTAAGCTACATCACAAAAGGTATTTTAAGTGAAAAGAACACACTGTTTCCAAGCAAACAATCATTTCTAAATAAGCATTTTTTTTTGCCGTGTATCATGTGTTAATCCTGCAATATATAAAAAGAAGTATATATCTGCAAACACAACAGAATTATTAATCAATTCGATTTATCTACTGTATGTTTTGGAGTGACCAGAAGTATACAAGCTTCTACTGGCAGGAATACATAACAAGACAGAAAATGTTTTAGTCTCTCAGCAGTTATATAATGTTCAGCTATTACTTACAGATTCCTCCTCTTTGCTCAGCTGTTTTGCACATGAGAGAAAATCCTCATACTTTGAATATGGGATGACAGGTTCTGGCAGCTCACGTAGGTACAGCTTCAGAAGTGAGGCTACGGTGTGGACATCTGTGTTACTGCAGATAACAGAAAAAGCAGGTTATGGCTAATGTTTACAAAGCTGGACGACACATGCATCGGCCTGCAAGCTGGTAACCTGCCCTCCGGGCTCTGCTACAGCTTATTTTATTATTCCTTTATCGCCAAAAATAAGCTTCTCTTTTTATGTCCCCCTTTGTCTGCATTTGTATTCAAGTCATACGAAATAAACTTGTATCAGTCATTTCTCTAAAGCATGTCCCTTCTGACAGATGCTCGGTGCGAAATTTAAGCAGCTTTCGTAAAAAAAGGAAAGAATGCTGAGGAACTGGAATAATAAGTAAGAAGATGGTATTGTAGTATCCTGTTTTATTGCACTGATTGAAATGGGAAATAAAACATAAAATTGCTACATCTCTGATTCATACACAGCTAGTCGTTGCCAGTCATCTTTGATTTACTGCTCATCACCCTCCCTCAATTTATCTCCAATAGATAGATTTTTATAAGCAAAGAAACATGCAGCTGCTATTTCTGAGCTCAAGGTATGCAAATGCTATTTGCTTGGCTTGTTTGCCCCAGCTCTGACCCATTAAAACTTTGAGTTAAATAGGCAGATTTGTACTTTTGACTTTTCTGACTTGCATACTTTTTAGAGACTCAAAGGGGTCTATTCACAAAGCTGCCGAAGACATGCTGATCTCGGGCTCGCACCGGGCACAGCGGAGCCCGGGATCAGCGGTACAACGGCGGGGGGGGCCGCGGATGGGGGGGGGACGGGACCGATCGGCACCCCATACACGCGATCCGCCGGCTCTACAGCCGGCGGATCGCTTGTATGGTGACAGGCATCGCTGCCTGTTTTAAAAAAACGGCCATTTCCCGCTCGCGCGCGCCGAGCGGCGCGTGCGGGGGGGCGTGTCTGAGCGGACGTCTAAAGACGCCCGCTCAGATCTAGAGAGCTCGGGCCGGCCGTTTTTTTACTACGGCCGGCCCGGAGGTGGTTAAATCATCTCTGAATTCATGCCGACACTGTCCTTTCTTCTGGAGGGTGGCTACTTTTGTTCCCCATAGTCCCCGTGTATGTGTGCCACTGCTCCAAGACTTCAATCTCATGTTTAGTTTACTAATTTGTATTAAGGAGAGGTGAGCGCCGACCAAAGGGGGAGCTGGGATCAGGTAAGGAAGGGAGAGATTTCCATAACATGTTGCAGATAGCCTAGTGCCATGTGTGGTCCTTCTGCAACTAGTCTAACGCTGTTCTAAGGAATTAAATGGCTTTGACCTTTAAAAGACCTGATCCACAGTGTTTAATTTAGCATTGGCTGGAATTTACTGTCTCACAGCAACAGACAATTATTTCTTGTCGGCTACCGCACCGTCTTCTTTGATTAACAGAAAACACCTGACCATTGTCTCACGTGGACTTCCGTCAGTAAAGCACAGGGTATATCAGATTGTATCTATTTCATTTGAATGACAGAATAACAAGATGATTTAACCGAAAATGTCACTGAAATTGAAAAGGTCAAAAAAAAAAGAATGACCTAAACTCCCCACTAGATGGCAGAAGTTCACAGCACAATTACTGTTAAAACAAAAGTGTTTTCATAAAAAGTGTAGAAGGAATATATTGTATGCCATCAGCAGAGGAGCCCTACAAGTCATAACAACTACAAGCACCATCGCACTTCTCTTAAAAGCAGCCACAGAATTTCCAAGGCACAATATTCATTTATTATAAAAATTGCCTGTGTCGCAGTGTACTGTATGCACCTCAAACTTTCCAGGCCACCTCCTTTATATCCCTCTATTAATACTGATAACAATGATAATGACACACCACTATAATAAGACAGATTAGACTCAATTAATGCGGCTATGACATGTCATTTGCAATAACCATCTGTATTCTCCGCTCTCACTGGCTCCCACTGTTGAATATAATGGTTGTTATGGCACATGTGGATCATTCCAGCTTAGCGAATTGAGCCTACTGTACCTAATAATAAGATAATTGACACACTGGAAAGCGTCAGTTCAGTGCTTCATTCACATGTGTTTATTAAGCACTTAAAAGACTTTGAAGGGAATTTTTCAAAAGTGGAGCAGACAAAATCCGCAGCAGTTGCCCATGGCAACCAATTACCTTCTCTCTTTCATTTTCCAATCTTAACTTAACAAACTGAAGAGAGAAGCCGATTGGTTGCCATGCGTAGCTGCTCCACATTTTGGCTGCTCCATTTTTGATCAATTCCCCCCTTTGTCTGTACATACCCAGTTATACTTTCCTTCTATACTCCCATACATACTGGAAAAATTAAGTATGTAAATAGTCCCCTTTGGCAACATGAACTCTCTAGGAGCTCTTAGCAACCTGTGATGCTCTAGTGAGCATCCTGCCCAGCTCACTGACGTCACTGGTTGCCAGGAGCTAAGCGGGATGCTCTAGCTGGCGTCCTGCCCAGCTCCTGGCAACCAGTGATGTCAGTGAGCTGGACGGGACGACATGCACCATGAGCCAGTTTCACTCATGCAGCCTCACGACCCATCACATGTAATCAGATATGCTGCAATTACCTGCCAATGATCGTCTGCGTCCAGGGGTGACCGTCCGTAGGTAATCATTACACGTCCGATAACATGGGAACGGCCACCAACATGAGACTGCTCCAATCACAAAGGTGAATGGGGCTTAAGTAGGGTTGCCACCTGTCCGGTACTCAACCCGGACAGTCCAGGTTTTAAATGTTGTGTCCGGGTTTCAGCTGCCATGAAAGATGGCAGAATAAGATGTCAGGCAGACAGGGGCAACCAAAATTAAGATACAGGCTAGTGGCCCCCCACTGAAAATAGTCTTGACTGTGATATTTGTACATATGAATAAGCCGCGACTTATGCTGCCCAAAACATTTCCGTGTGGCGCTAGAGTGTTCGGGTTTCAATGGAGGAAAGGGTGGCAGCCCTAGGCCTAAGAGCTTGTTCACACCATGTGCGGAGACCTGATTTTTCTGTACTTGATCAACCTAGGTCTCTGCAAAGACATATAGAGGACAATTGTTTTCTATGTACCCTGGTCACACCACTACTAAGCACAGATGTGCTGAAAAATGCTGTATATCTGCGTTGTCCCGCACTACACACGCACACGCATGTAAAATGCACATAAAAGCAATGCAACTAAAATAAAAATCAACCCACAAAAGTAAAAAAAAGGGAATAGGGAAAAATGCAGGGGAAAAAAAGCACATCGATGTCAACGTGCATAAAAGCACATTAGAAATGAGCATAACATTGCATGTAAATGCTTATTAATGCACAGCAACAGCATTTTTTTCATGAGATTTAATGCACGTTATGGTGTAAATCAAGGGTGTGCATCTCCGGCCATCCAGCGATGCTTTAACTAGAAAGCCCAACATGCATCTGCCCCCTGTTAGTCATGTCTGGAACTGTCAGTCTTGCAATGCCTAATGAGACTTGTAGTTCCACCACAGCTGGAGGGCCCGAGTTGCCCACTCCTGCTGTAAATGAACTATACACTGTATATTTATATTGGTCATGTCTATAGTCACAGGTTTGATTAATCTTTGCTCATGGTAAAAGCAGAATAGTGATGTCTGTGACTATTTCCTGATGGTGGTGCTATATTCATAGCAGTCATCACATCTACTGTACCGTATATGAAAAGTCAGTGGAAACGCTTGTCAGAGCCAATTACTTGGCTCCCATATTCACCCCTTGCCCTCAACCAGTCTTTAAAAACATCAATTACTTTAGCACAGCAGGTCACAGTGAATACACAAGTTATTCACAGACTAGATGTCCTTGTGTGGCTTTACTGGGGGGTATGAATAATCAAGCGTTCTGAATATGGGCAACGCTAACAATGTATTTCCCTGAAATGTGTGCCCTGTCTATGAACATTCTAAATACAGAAAGCAGGGCTTCTGAAAAGCACAATAGATATACCAACGGCAAATGCTATTCTGCCCACTCCCTTTGCGTAGAACACATGCCGTGCGTCTGTGTGATCATATGATTGTACATATTATCACACCGAGTATTATCAGGTGTATTCAGGGCCGGATTTACTCTCTCTGCTGCCCCAATGCCAGGTTCCTCAATGCGCCCCCCCCACCCCCCCCATATGCAGGCTGCATACAAGTGATCTCGGCGACATCACAGCAGGGCTAAATGTAGAAAACAGCTACCCGTCCGGGACCCAGAACTGCATGCCCGGGCGTCAAGAGATAAGAATTCCAAAACCCTGCTGCCCCGAGGCCGGGCCTCGGTTGGCCTTGTGGGAAGTCCGGCCCTGGGTGTCTGCTGTCTGCTTCAGTTTTCATAAGTCCTCCCCCCCCCCAGGGGAGGGGTGGGGAGAACTTGTATTCTAAAGAAAGGGGAGGTATAGACAGGTAAACGCAATATATAGTGAAACATATATTAATCTCAATGGACTTGTGTCTTTTTTCAACCTATGTAACTATATGTAACTTTGGCAGTTTATAATACATTGTATATGGGCATGCTGGAACTTGTAGTTCCCAGTGCCATTGCATGCAGTATATACATGTCATCAGGGCCAACCCTACAATGAGGCAGCCTGAGGTGGTTTCCTCAGGCGGCATCTCATTGGGTCATGTGTTTCTGTGTATGTTGGGGGGGGGGGGAGAGGTGCCGCCCCCTTAAAAAAAATTGGTGTTTGGGGGTGGGTGGGCAGGTGTCGCCCCCTTTCTGGCCAGAGCATCTAAAGCTGTTAAAAGCATTCTGTGATGGCTGGCGTCCCTCCCAGTTCTTGGCAACCAGTGACATCAGTGAGCTGGACTGTGCACCACCAGCACCCCACTAACACAGAACCAATGCAATTAACACAATGCTATGGTGTGAATGGACCCTTACGTCTCATTTACACTACTAAGAGCCGGCCCGTACAGAACCGTGCGGCGTGCACGGCTGTATCGGACAGCTCCCGGGAAAGACAGGTGCTGCGTGTGATTGCCTGTTCTTCTCTATGGGAGTACGCGGCCGTGTGATT